GTGTGTGTGAGTTTGTGTTGGGTATATGTGAGCATTTATGTGTGTATGTGTGTATTTATGCAAGTAGGCATAAATGTATATCTTTTAAATATTTCGAACTGAAATTATGAACAAAAACAAAACATTTCAATTTTACTGATTCCTCCTTTTTCGGAATTTTTATAATTATTTCGATTTACATTGTAATGGAATCAACCTTAAAATTGTCTTCAGAGATGATAGCAGAAGCTTATCTTGTTATTGCGGATAATTCTACCGCGTACAACTGCAAATTCGCAGTTGAAGTAAATGCTGGTAGACAAAAGTGAGTAACATCTAATTAAAAGATCATGCGTGTAGGAAAAGCAATATGCTTTCGGGGAGACATCCTTTTACGGACTGGTAAATCGAAAAAAAACAACCTCAATTTCGAAAATGGAAGTTCCACGCACAAGCAATGCGAAAAGGAACATAGCCGTCGCTGTGACACCACGATTCCTGCGAAATTTGTTGAGCAAAACAGATTGCTTAGTGATCAGATATCTCTCGATAGTGTTTAAAATAATCAAAAAGCACGAGAACGTCATGGATACATGACATAGTGCCAACATTGGTCCCAAATATGACCACCAGAGTCGGCTGAGCCAGAGCCACTGCAGTAAAAATTCATCAGGACCGGTAAAAAAAAAAGAATGCATTTGTACTATCTGATTTCTTGATGCGGAAAAAAGAAAGTCTTCAGGAAGTAGTGTTTACTAAAAATGCATTTTTTCAATGTTAATACAAATTGCTTAATAAACTTGTAAATTTATACTAGTTTGTACATTTTGCAAAAATCTGATGGTCATTTGTGATGGTTAGGCGGTCAGCTGAAAATTCAAAGCCAGCACTGTTACTGGCTAACATTCCCATACTGGATGCTGCTAGACCAAACTTATGCTTAAAATTTGGAAATTTTTTGGCTGTATTTTATCGTTAGGGATGAGAAGTAAACGAGAGCTGGTTCTCATCTGCCTATTATGCAAATTTGCATATTATCTATCTATCAAATTTTCATATTTACTTGAAAATTGCAAATTTCGTACCTCAAACACAACCTCACTACCGTATCCGAAAATGCTACTGGTTGAGAGCAACAATTTACCTTTAATTCTAGCACAGATCAAGTTTCCATAGCGTCTCTAATGCAGGATACCCATACTGACTGTTCGGAAGTCATTGATTTTTTCAGGATTTTTTTTTTTAAATCTAGCAATTTGCCCGTTACATCACTCGCACTTTTGGATATTGCTACACTTAATTCCGTATTAGAAACTGAAAATCTATATTTACCTGAATGCGATTTTTGATAATATCCATAGCAATAACAGGTCCATAACAAAATGAGAGGAAACTATCACTGAGTGCTAACAGGCCAAGGAAAAAGAAATGATTGCGCTGCCTCGACAGGACAGCTTTTGCGATGAGAAGATTGGAGAATAAGCTGATCAGGCTAAGTGGAGTACCAACAACCGCAACCAGGTACCAACGACGATCAACGCTTTCTGCCACTTCGCATTCCTCCTCATCAACCTCACCAATATACTCCAGTGGCTTTTCGACCATCTCAAAAAAAAGTTAACGGTAACCAATGGTTCAAAGCACACAGCACATTTTCGAAAAAACCAGGTCTTCTAGGAGGAAAAAATACGTCAGATGGGCATCATATTGTTTTGAACTTTGATACTTTTAGATCACAGATGAGGTATTGTTCCTTACAA